CGACACCACAAAAATACAAAAGATCATTCAAGGATACTATAAACACCTTTACATGAACAAACTAGAAAACGTAGAGGAGATGGATAAGTTCCTGGAAATATACAATCCTCCTAGGTTAAACCAGGAAGAAACAGAAACTCTGAACAAACCAACAACAAGCAATCCGACTGAAATGGTAATTTAAAAAATTGCCAACAATAACAAAAAAAATGTCTAGGACCACATGGATTCACAGCTTAATTCTATCAGACATTCAAAGAAGAAATGGTACCAAATCTATTGAAAATATTCCAAAAGATAAGGAGGAAAGAATCCCCCCTAAAACATGCTATGAAGCCAGTATCACCCTAACACCAAAACCAGAAAAGGACATAACAAAAAAAAGAAAACTACAGACCAATATCCCTGATGAACATAGATGCAAAAATCCTCAATAAAATACTAGCTAACTGAATCCAACAGCATATCAAAAAGATAATCCGCCACGATCAAGTGGGTTTCACATGTACAAGTCAATAAATGTGATACACGATATAAACAAAAACAAAAATCCCATGATCTCAATAGATGCAGAAAAACATTTAACAAAATCCAGCATCTCTTTATGATCAAAACCCTCAGCAAAATTGGCATAGAAGGGACATATCTTAAGGTAATAAAAGCCATCTATGACAAACCCACAGCCAACATTATACTGAATAAGGAAAAGCATTCCCCCTGAGAACTAGAACAAGACAAGGATGCCCTCTTTCACCCCTTCTGTTCAACATAGTACTGGAAATCCTAGCCAAGGCAATCAGACAAGCAAAAGAAATAAAGGGCTTCCAAATCTGTAAAGAGGAAGTCAAATTGTCACTGTTCGCTGATGATATGACTGTATACCTAGAAAACCCTGAAGGCTCGTCCAAAAAGCTCCTAGATCGATAAATGAATTCAGTAAAGTTTCAGGATACAAAATCAATGTACACAAATCAATAGCACTGCTATACACCAACAACAACCAAGTTCAACCCCTTTTACAATAGCTGCAAAAAATAAAATAAAATACTTAGGAATATACCTAACCAAAGAGGTGAAAGATATCTACAAGGAAAACTACAAAACAATGCTGAAAGCAATCACAGATGACACAAACAAATGGAAACACATTCCATGCTCATGGATGGGTAGAATCAATATTGTGAAAATAACCATACTGCCAAAAGCAATTTATAAATTCTATGTAATCACTATCAAAACACCATCACCATTCTTCACAGAACTAGAAAAAAAAATCCTAAAATTCATATGGAACTAAAAGAGGGCCTGCATACCCAAAGCAAGACTAAGCAAAATAAAACAAATTTGGAGGCATAACATTACCTGACTTCAAACTATACTATAAGACTATAGTCACCAAAACAGCATGGTACTGGTATAAAAATAGTCAGATAGACCAATGGAACAGAATAGAGAAAGAAAGTCAAATACTTACAGTGAACTGATCTTTGACAAAGCAAACAAAAACATAAAGTGGAGAAAGGACACCATATTCAACAAATAGTGCTGGAATATTGGCAAACCACATGTAGAAGAATGAAACTGGATCCTCATCTCTCACCTTATACAAAAATCAACTCAAGATGGATCTAAGACTTAAATATAAGACCTGAAACCATATACATTCTAAAAGTTAACATTGGAAAAACCCTTCTAGACATTGGCTGAGGCAAAGACTTCATGACCAAGAACCCAAGAGTGAATGCAACAAAAACAAAGATAAATAGATGGGAATTAAATAAACTAAAAAGCTTCTGCATAGCAAAAGAAATAATCAGCAGAGTAAACAGATAACTCACAGAGTGGGAGAGAATCTTCACAAACTATGTATCTGACAAAGGACTAATATCTACAATCTACAAAGAACTCAAACAAATCAGCAAGAAAAAGACAAATAATACCATCAAAAAGTAGGCTAGGGATATGAATAGACAATTCTCAAAAAAAGATATACAAATGGTCAGCAAACATATGAAAAAATGCTCAACATCACTAATAATCAGGGAAATGTAAATCAAAACTACAATGTGATACCACCTTTCTCCTGCAAGAATGACCATAATCAAAAAATCAAAAAATACTAGATGTTGGTGTAGATGTGGTGAAAACAGAACACTTTTACACTGCTGGAGGGAATGGTAACTAGTACAACCATTATGGAAAACAGTGTGGTGATTCCTTAAAGAACTAAAAGTAAATATTTTCCTCTTGGTAGATAGCACTCCTGAGTATCTACCAAGAGGCAAAGAAGTCTTTACATGAGAAAGACACTTGTACACACATGTTCTTAGCAGCACAATTCACAATTGCAAAAATATGGAACCAGCCCAAATGCCCATCAATCAACAAGTGGATAAAGAAAATGTGGTATACATATATACACCATGGAATACTACTCAGTCATAAAAAGAATGAAATAATGGCATTTGCAGCAACCTAGATGGAGCTGGAGGCCATTATTCCACGTGAAGTAACTCAGGAATGGAAAACAAAACATATGTTCTCACTTATAAGTGGGAGCTAAGCTATGAGGGCACAAGGGCACAAGAATGATATAATGGACTTTGGGGACTCGGAGGGGAAGAGTGGGAGGGGGTGAGGGATAAAAGACTGCTCATTGGGTACAGTGTACACTGCTCAGGTGACAAGTGCACCAAAATCTCAGAAATCACCACTAAAAAACGTATCCATGTAACTAAACACTACCTGTTCCCACATAACCTATCGAAATAAATAAATATTTTTTAAAAAGTAAGAGACACGTGAGTTTCCTTTCACTTGGACACTTGGAGGCCATTGTAGGGTTATCAACTGGCCTAATTTCAATATTGTTATGTCTCAGGAAACTGGGAGAAATGAGGAGTGGGAGAGAGATGGGGAATCAGGTGGTCCATGGAACAGTTAGCACACACATAACACTTATCAATTAAGTTTGCCATCTTATATAGGCAGGGATTATGGCTCCCCAAAACAATTACAATAGTGACATTAAAGATCACCGATCACAGGTCACCATAACAGATACAATAATAATGAAAATGTTTTAAATAGAGCAAGAATTACCAAAATGTCACACAGAGACACAAAATGAGCCCGTACTTTTGGAAAAACAGTGCCGAAAGACTTGCTTGACATAGAGTTGCCACAAACCTTCAATTTGTCACACACACACACACACACAAAAAAAAAAAAAAAAACATGGAGTGTCTGTGAAATGCAATAAAGTAAAATACAATAAAATGAACTTTGCCTGTATTTTATCAGAAAATTTACACATTATGTGTATGCATGCATGATTGGAACATATGTGTGTAAGAGTTGTAATAATAAACAACTTGTCAATCTCCAAGGCGGTAAGTAGTCACAGAAATCCTGCCTTTTCAATCAGAGATTGCTCTCATACTAAAGGAACACAAGAAATCAGTTGTCTTGTTTTCTTGTTTTTGCTTTAAATGGGGTTGTGCTGATCCGCAGATCCAGGCAACTCTTTAAAGTCTAAACAAAATTGCTACCAGCAAATGGATCTCAGATGCTCTAGAAATACTTGCAGTTCACGTTGCTGCCACCCTTTCCCATGAGTGCCTCAAACTTTCTGCCTCTGATTCATCCCTATGCCATAAGCCGTGGGATATTCTGTGTCAAATAACTCAAAGCCCAGTTATGCAGAGGAGACTCAGTTAGTCCACATTAAATATCCAATGTAAGTTCCACTGTCCAGAAGAGAAAGATTTCAATCAAATGAATTTATTCTGCATTTAACGTCCTGACTGCTGACTAAAGAATATTTAGGAAGTAGAAACATTTACAAAGTTATAAAGATGACATTTCATTTGCTAACCCAGAAATCAATTTTTACTATAAAATTTTGCTTTAGCAAGACTTGGGCAAATTGGCCTTCATGTTATCTTTTGCATTATGTGGAGCTTTTATTCCAAATATTTTTATGCATATAAATGCCTAGCAACACCTTTTAGATGTATTCAGAATCTAAAATTTCATTTAATTGGTAGAAAACAGGTTTTGACCAATTCTAAGAATGAATATGTCCCATCTTTTCCATGTGCTGCTCTCCCTTTAGTTGAGGTCCTGCCATGAAATTACATTGTCTCCTTGACTTTCCTACGCCTCCTATATGGTATTTGTTTTCCCATACACACCTCTTTTAAGTAAAATATAACCCAGTTTGAATCTTAATACCCTATTGCTTTTCTTTACATTTTTAATCACAAAATGATGTGGCCACCCAAGGTGGTTTTAGTACAAACACACAAAATTCACTGGAAATGAGTAAAACCGCAAAGTCAGTGATCTGAAAACTCAAAGAACTGTCTCTCTGGCTATTCCTTGCATGAATAATATTTATTGTAGTAAGCTTCCTCCCTCAGAAAATCTGTTTATGAAATGTCATTCTGTTCACATACTGCTCTTTCACATATACGTGAGTCCTGTGGGGCATGATGTCTGTGCCTATGTTCCTCTTTGACATGAGCTCTTCTCACTTGCATAACCAAGACTGATCAACCATGAAGCTTTGTGTTTTTTTTGGTTTTTTTTTTTTTGACAGATAGTTATTGAAGCTTGAAATGAGAAAAAAAAATCTAAAAGAACTTCTTTCAGATATGGATACAAGGAGCCTTCTCCTTTCCTGAACCTCACGCTCCTACACACACATTTCTCTCTAGTGTCAACTATTACAGACTAAAATATCAAACATTTGGCTTACAGTATTGGTGTTTTCACTTCATAAGTACAAATCTCAGAATATGTGCTCAGTCGACAATAAGCTTCTTCTGAAGACACGACTATAAATACATTGGAATAAGGAGCATACACAGATCTAGACAATCCTTCATGTATTGATTCTAATTATTATTCCCCATTGAAACCAGTTTTTATTCTTTAAGGGAGGGCAGGCTTAGCTGATAATGAATGTCTTTTATTGCATTACTTGAAGTAATTACCTTCACTAGAATTTTGCCTTTCAAACTTTGAGGGCTTGGAAGCTGCTTGCACTCCCCTGTATCAATAGATGACAGGTCCAGTTTGTCTCGGAATATTCCTTTCAGGTACTGAGCAATCTTCCTTTGCTGCTGGAGACTGCAGTGATTCTCGATAGACAATATAACCGGAAATCTGAGAAAAGAGCAACACATTCCAGAGGAGTCGGGTGCAGGCAACTCACAGGGATTTTTGAAAATGATTCAGTATTCATTGTGTTGTTACAATCCTAGTGACAGTATTTGCGATACTGCTGATGATTAAAATGCTTCTAAAATGAGAAAGATTAGAAATGCATTTAAAAATTCCTCTGAGCAAATATACTTTGCTAAGCATAATGGCTGAACAAAATACCAGTCCACACGGGATGGCTTTTCTAATATTTTGCATCAGGAAAAAATGGTAGATATATTATGTTTCTTTTAAAAGAAGAGAAAATTTTAAAAGAGATGAGAAGTCTAAAGAAAGTAAACTCGGTCGGGCGCGGTGGCTCACGACTGCAATCCCAGCACTTTGGGAGGCCGAGGCGGGTGGATCACGAGGTCAGGAGATTGAGACCATCCTGGCTAA